ATTGCCGGCTTGGTAAAGGATGGCGCAGCGTTGATCACGTAGACGGAGGAACTAGAGGAACTAGTTTACTGCGAGATCTAGTGATCCCTAAGTAACCTTCCAGCATTTTATGTGTTTGGAAATCAGCAATGTTTATTTTTAGTAAAGGAAAAGGATGCATCAATGTCAAAGTTATCCAATTCAGTTAAAAATGATATTGGGACCAGTTTGAAAGAAGACATCTATGAGACTTTAATGCCACAGTGCTAGTCATACTACCACCGACTTTCTGTGGTCAAATATCCCATCCAAGATTTAAGCTTACTTCCCACCTTTGCGGGTGTCCTTAGGAAAAAAATTCGCACGCACGTTACTTTCATTAAATCCTTGCAAACTATACATCAGAAGAAAGCTCGATAAATGCAAACTACGATAAAATATAATTCAAGTGAGTTTTCCTTTTAGGAAAAATCAGGAGTCGGTAAGACGTGATTCGATCGAGGGTTCTTCCATTGAATTTATCGGGTATCGGATGCCGCAGCGCAAGCAAAATGTTTACGCAATCACAGGGCATCAATCAGCAAAAGTTTGTCAGGCTTTTTTGATATTCTGATTGGTTGTCTAGATATTACCATCTAAAGTTGAAGTAGTTAAAAATATGCTAGGAGTGTTGCGTAAATGAACGCAAACAAAAACTTGCATTTTCCTCGTATAAACATTAGCTAAATCCATTCCTGAAAAAGCGGCGGCAAAAAAAGCGATCATGTCTCTTCAAAGTCGTTTTCTTGGACGTCGAAACAACCTTTCGCCATAATCTTTCTGGTAATAACTTGCTATGTTTTCCCCCAGCTGACGACCACAGAGACGTTTGCGAAAACAAGAGGATCCGCGAAATGTCAGAAAGAGAGGATTCTAGTTGCCTTTCCTGTCACTTTATGCCTGGAATGTTTGCAAATACACGAGAGTGGGTGTCGCAAAATCCTGCTCTTATGTACTCACCCTCTGACAATCTTGAAATGCATGCAATTACTTTGCCAACTGTACATTTTAACACTTTCGAACTTAAAGGAATTCGGGGAAGCATAGTCTCTGGGCTACTTGAGTCACTAAGAAAAGTTGAAGCGTCTGCGCACGGAGGAGGTTTTCTACCGGGTTTTGATGTTAACATTTGTGGATTGTCGGTTATTATTTGTACCCTTTAAGAGCGGCTATTACACTTCTGTCTGATACTTACTACGAAATTTATTATTGACACAACCCCCCTTTCCTCGCCCCACCTTTCAGTAATAATCTGCAATTTTGCAATGGACCAATTTCTAAGGTACATCTCGTCGAGGAGCCAGATTTTAAAATAGACAGCTGCAAGAGATTCCATATCAAATGTATGCAGCAAACCTCGGATAAAATATTTAAGTGATTTCTATATGCATGTCAGGTTTTTAACCATTTTCTTTTTTCTTCTGCTGAGAGGAGACCAATATATTACGGGCTTATTTGTTTTTCGGCGAACCAGCAACTAGCTCAAGTTTAACAAATAACAAGTCAAATTTGTTACATTTTGGACTTTGTAGACTGGAAACACAACATACCAAATGAATGTCAAAGTTGACCGCTGAACAAAATTACAGGCGCGATCTGCTCAAAGATGGCGGATTGTCCTTTTTGGCGCATCAAATTATCTTTTTGCCACCAACACATATCATGTGAGTCGACAAGCATCACCGTAAAAGACCAATCATTTTGGTGGATCTTTCTGAGAGCTCTGTCTGCGTTTAATATTTCAGCGAGGGAACGAAGCAAACCGATTCTGATACATTGTTGACATAATGGCTACTTATCTAACAAATGATATCAAGCTAAAAGTTGCAACTGAGGCCCCACAGAGACCTGTATGTATTATCAAGTTTCTTCCTAGCTTTCTTTTGTCAGAAAGTTTGACTACATGCGCCCTTGATGTTCATCATCAACTGCTGCGTTTCCTCGAGAATAATCCAAATATAGCTGCGAAAAAAGTTCTCAGAAATAGCGGAACTTACGCTATTCGAATATTCTCTCCTCGTTTATGTTTAAACGATACTCCCTGGGAAATTTCTTATAAATTTCAACTTATTTTGAGTTAATAAAACAAAGATGTGGTGTACGGAATTTTGATGATATAGACTAAAAAGCCAGAGGTAGATGTAAATTTCACGACAGCACGGGCTATGAAATAAATTCCCCATAAATTTTATTACTAATTTTGAAAGTCCAGTGATGGCTTTCACTGCCCATATAGGAATAATGATCAGAAGTGGTTGCTCATCGAAGATATTGGGCCATAGAATACCCTTATTTTTGGACTTGTCAAGATGAGATAAAGTCGTCTTTACTTAAGGGAGAGGTAAGTGAAGAAATGAGATGAAAAAGTTGAAACAATTAAATTTTCTAGAAAATTAGATATAAAATACAACCCAGTTGATTGAATTTGCAGAACATAATTAGCTAATTAACTATGCAAAAAAATGCAGGAAATGGGGGTTTTCCCAGGGGGACCATATATCTCCCAGGGAATTAAATATTCTGACCTTTTATTTTCACGCATTTGTTAACTCATGATACTTAACATTTGTGCCAAGTTTGAGTCAAATCGGTGATTTGAGGTTTATCGCTCCCTGCCCGGTTTCCTCGTGGACACGCTCTTAAACGTCAATGGTTACCATGTGTATCCACTTACGCACTGACCAATTCAGAAGTTAATATTTTGTTTTCAACCTTACAATGGCAAATAAAATGAGATAATAAGCGGGCACCAACGATAAATACTTATGTGGAATCGTCTACAAATTTGACACACAGAGGATTGCAAATAAATGTTCGAGTCATGATACTAAAACAGCTATCCCTTATCAGCACTGTGACTATTTTAACTATGCAGGATCGTGTTTCAGTTGTGTGATACCGAAAGAACTGTACAGAGTTCTTATCCGCACTTAGCACCTTAGCTTAACGTATTTGAATCCACTGATTTCAATAAATTGGTTTGGTTTGTTGAAGGACTTCGTTACTAGAACATAAAATCTGCTGCTGAATGCTGGTGTTAAAAAAAGTCGTACTGTGTATTGACCGCATGAGTTTTCTGTCGTGCCAGTATTTCAGCTTTGTGGCAGTGCCTTGAATTTTTTAGTCAAGTGGACATGATAATCAGCTCGTTTTGACACCATGTACCATTGTCCGATCACAATATAATAGGTCATAGCAGGAAATCCGAAGCGATTGTCAGGTTCCATGGTTTGAAATCTGCCATAAAAAAACTGCGTCAAGAACCTTCAAAGGTTCGAAAAGCTTCCTTAAGGAAGTAAATGTTACTATTATTCGTGAAGGTAGGTCGATGCTCTATTTTGTGTAAGTAACACAAGTCGTCTGTCCTCCATGTTTGGAACTGTTATAAGAAAACGTCTATGACTGGGTCGACGTCCAACGCGGATACCACAGTATCATTGCTTCTTGTGCTTTCATGCCTGTTTTTGTCAGGCGTCTTGAGAAACTTACAGAGTTTTCTTTCCCAGTGGGGTCTTTCACGATCACTGCCATAGTCGATCACACTTCTTGTCCGCAAATCTTTAGGCAGCGATCCTAAATCTACGTCATCTTTTCTTATAATGACCAAACTGTCGTCCTTATTTCTGAGAAGCCTGTGTTTTGCTTGATTCAGTTCAAATTTGCAAAAATGACTGTTCAAAAAGTTCCTTGAATAAACTACAACATTTTTGTAACTTTCGTAAACGCTATCCGACATCATATCATAAATAATACCACCAGGTTTGAAGTCTCTGTAATGGATTCGGCAACTTAACCCAAGCTGTTCTTCGAAGAGAGGTAGGATCTTTTCGTCCACCCATTCAACATCACCACCATTAAAAATTATGAATACGTCACGATTTTCAGGCCCAGGATCTGAAAATAATGAAAGGAATTATTGTCAGACGCTCCAGGGAGATTTCAAGAAAATATAAAAAGTTTAAGTCTACTTTTAAGGAAAAATTTGAATGAAGTAGTAAAATAAATGATTATGGACATATTTTATCCAACTGAGCCGTGAATGCAAATTTAAACTTGCAGGTGGGCAAAGACGATCAACTGAGTCGTTCGCCCCTCTAAGAAATATTATTTGTACTTCTTTATTGAAAGACAAATACAAACCACCAGATGGACGGCCATATTCGGATTTACAGCGTTGTACACAGATTCTGATGTATCTTCTATGGCAAACAACAGCCAATACAACTGCCAAGACACCAGCTATGGCACCAACGGAACTGGACACATATTTCATGGTTATGTCAGAGCCTGGGTAAAAATGAGCAATTTCTGTTGCCACAGCAAGTTCAACAACAGTTCATAACAGGATTAACAAATTAAAAAAAAAAAGAGACTGCCTCAAAGTGTTTTTGAGAAATTTTTGGAAACCCAATGTGATTATATCTTTCCTAAATTTGGTCCAGGGAAGGGATGATGAAAAGTGGGCACAACCCCATGAATATCTTCTCAATCATTCACAGAATATTCCCCTGAACCCTTGCATATACTCACCACCCAATCGACGCCAGAATAATTTGCTTGGGGGTCAGTCATTATTTATCGCTAAGCGGGCTCAGAAGATTTTGGTTGTCGCTTTAAAATTTACCTGATATCCTATAAGGTTGTGTAGTATTCTTTTGACCCTTCTCGTTGACAGTTAATTAGCAGTCAACTTCTTTAGTCTCTCTTTATATTCTGTTGGCGACGACATTCCCCCCTGGGAACTATGTGATTCTCCCCCAAAATCCTTTACACCTCCCTACCGCCCCCCCCCCTTCCTCAGGCGGTAATGAATAGATAGTCCGTCAGGAAGTTAGTAATTTTAAACAACACAAAGGCCAGACTCTGTCCTACCAAAGTTCCAGTGCTCGTGTGTGGAAAAAGTTCGAAGATATGTAACAGGCAAGCCAAACTAACCATAATCTTGCTTTTACAGTCAAACTAAGTGAAGCGTGCCCCTCAGGATTACATTAATGATTTGATTATTTGAATATTGAACCGGCTAATCGTTTCAGGAGCGCAATAACGAATTGAATATTTGAACATGGAACCCGCTAACCGTTTCAAGAATGCAATAATGGATTG